TATGCAAAGGCATTTGATTGTGTGGATCATGACAAATTATGGATAACATTGAGAAGAATGGTAATTCCCAAGCACTTGATTGTACTCATGAGGAACCTATACCTTGACCAGAAGGCTGTCGTTCAAATGGAACAAGGGGACACTGCATGGTTTAAAATCAGGAAGAGAGTGCGTCAGGGTTGTATCCTTTCCCCACACTTACTCAATCTGTGTGCTGAGCAAATAATCCAAGAAGTTGGAGTATAAGAAGAAAAACGTGGCATCAAGATTGGAGGAAGAATCATTAACAACCTGAGATATGCTGATGATACAACTTTGTTTGCTGAAAGTGAGGATGACTTGAGGTACTTACTGATGAAGATTGAGGAACACAGTCTGCAGTGTGGATTACATCTCAATATAAAGAAGACAAAAATCCTCACATTTGGACCAATAAGCAGCACCATGATAAATGGAGAAAAGATTGAGGTTGTCAAAGAATTCAGGTTGCTTGGTTCTACAATCCAGGCCAATGGAAGCAGCAGTCAGGACATTAGATGACGTGGAGCACTGGGTAGGTCAGCTATGAAAGAACTGTTTCAAGTGCTGAGGAGCAAGGACGTCTCCTTGAGGACTAAGGTGTGCCTGACACAGGCCATGATATTTCCAATCGCCTCATATGCATGTGAAAACTGGACAATAAATAAGGAAGACCGAAGAAGAGTTGATGCTTTTGCATTGTGGTGCTGGCAAAGAGTGCTGAAGGTACCATGGACTGCCAAAAGGACTAACAGATCTGTCCTGGAAGAAGTTCAGCCGAGATACTCCTTGGAAGCGAGGATGGCCAGACTTCGTCTCACCTACTTTGGTCATGTTGTCAGAGGGGACCATTCCCTGGAGAAGGAGATCATGCTTGGTAAGGTGGAGGGTCGACAAAAGAGGGGAAGGCCTTCAACAAGATGGATTGACATGGTGCTGTGACAATGGGCTCAGGTATAGCAAGGATCACAGAGCTGGCATAGGATCGGGTGGTGTTTTGTTCTGCTGTGCTTGGGGTCGCTATAAGTCGGAAGCGACTTGACACCACCTAACAACAACAACAGCCACTGTGCAGAAGGAAGATGGGACAGTCTACTTCTGTAAAGATTTGCCACCTCAGAAACCCAGTCGGGGTCACTGTGAGTCAGAATTGACTCAATGGCAGTGAGTTTGGGTTTTTTTTGTTGTTGTTGTTTGGAGATATTCAAAGAGATTTCAAGAGGGAGATTAGGAGCTTCACAGAAAGATCTGGGTTGAAGATTTGATTCATACATTCATGTATGTGTTGTTGTTATGTGCCGTGGAGGTCCGACTCATAGCGACCCCTCCTTGGGTTTCTGAAGTGGTATCACTATTGAAGTAGATTGCCCAACCTTCCTTCCGAGGAGTGGCTGGTGGGTATAAGCCTCTGCAAATGAGCCAGAGAGCAAAAGGGAAGAAAAATCAGGAATTTGGACTGTGTGTATGGAGTGGTGTGCAATGTAGAATGCTTCCGAAGGGAGAGAAAAGATGAGGACTTAAAAAAAGTTCATTGGACTTAGTGGCACTGAATTGTAACCTTTGCTTCCATAGAGTAATGAGTAATGGAGCAGACAGCCAAATCGGAATAGATTATGAAGTGAGTTAGAGGTGCAGAAGTGGAGACAGTGAGTATAGACGGCTCTTTTGAGATGTCTAGCTGTGAAGGGGAGTGGAGGGAGGGTCAGTTGGACAATGAGGATTTGCTTTGGGAAAAACAGAAGCATAAAATGGGAAAACCTGGAGGACGATAATGAAGCAGTACTTGGTTTAGTCCATTATACTGTGTAAGATAGGAAAAGGCTTAGAAGAGATCTCGTATTTTACATTCATACATAAATTGTTATCATATAAACAGCAGTGGTTGCAGTTATTCCCAGGTAACCATCAAAAATCTCTAAGAGGTTCATGTTTGTTTGCTTGGTTTCATTCATCTTTCTAAAAGACCTCCAGGAAGTATCCCCATTCCACTCATCAACACCATGCATGCTTGATTCCTGACACATTAAGGATGACCATCCCCTTAGATAATCTTTCTAAAAGACCTCCAGGAAGTATCCCCATCCCACTCACCATCACCATGCATGCTTGATTCCTGACACATTAAGGATGACCATCCCCTTAGATATATTGCCACTCATTTGGCTGTTAGCCCCTATTGCATCTTGATATTAGTGGTCATGTTTTTCCCTTCAAAAAAAAAAAAAAAAAAATTTTTAAGCCTCCTTATTTGCTATTTCCTGGGACCACTTTTCATGCAGTTTATATGGGGAAAATTAGACTTCCCTGGTTTAGAGTGATTTGCTTTTGAAGGTGAAATGACCTGGTCCTTAATTACAGCTCTTTTGCTGTCTTTGCTGCAGAAGCACCTGGGGAGGTTTTGTTTTTCTCCCAAGGTCTTTGCTTTTTTTCAAAGGTTTAGAAATGCCTGGAGAAATTACACTTGTATTGCACAAAAGCCATTCACAGTAAAGAGGTTCGGGTGCCTATTAACACCTGGGATGCCTCCCTTCCACCTAGCTGCAGTTGGAGCCTGCAGACCTCATTCATTCTCTGCTTCATCCCTGACCTCTGCCTGCAGAGACCGGAGCAGGGCAGCCTGAGCTTTGTGTTCTGCGTTTCGAAGGCAGAGCGAGTGCCCCGGCGCCAGCTGGTGTGTGTACTCATGGCAACAACAAGATGCCTGGGAAGTTGCCAGGATTCTCCCCTGGGCCCTGTGTTTGCAGCAAGTCCTTGGACTTGCTGTCGCTACTTAGTCAGCAGCAGGCTCAGTGATGCTGGTGTGTTTGCCCTCCCCCCCTTCATTTCTCAAAAGGCTTCCATTTTATTCAAGTGTCATTTTGTACCCTGGGTTGAAGAAAACGATCACTAAGTGTTTCTGATTGCCTAATTTGTTTTTGAGAAGTACAGATCTTTCTAAAAGCAACTTAATAGTGAGATTTATTTTAACACTGGGAAGAAGGAGTCTTACCATTGCTGAATTGTTTAAAATTCTAAAGCTTTCTCCAGCATATCATAGCAATGGAAGTGAGTGACAATGGGCCAATGGTATATTAAATCACTATTGACCATCTCACCATTAGTCTAGAATGTACTCCTTGTTTCTGTTTTGTTTTGCTTTTCTAATTATAAAAGTAACTCTTAATCATTTCAGAAAATAATGAAAATGCAAAGAAAGCCAAAATAACTTATAATTTCACCTCCATGAAATCTGTTAACATTTCTTTTCTCTCTTCTAATTTCAACATAAATACCTTTTATTTGCAAAATTGGAATTTTTTTTTTTTTAACTTAATGCTACATTTTCTTTTCCTCTGTGTCATTAAAAATCACATGTTTACATAAACTATTCATGGCATGTGTGGACCATGATCTGGTCTATTCTGTTGCAGTGGGAAGAGGAGAGGAACTTTGGAGCATCCTTGTTACTCCCAGGCCTAAAACAAGAGAACTCAGTGGGTTTCAGCTCCCAGTTGTATGGCTGTGCACTTCTTGGTAAGCAATGAGACCCTTACAAATATTTTCTATCATTAATAGAATTGATACATTTTTCTGCTTCATAATAAAATTCTGGTTTTATTTAAATTTACTAATAAAATTCCAACACAGCCTTCATAGTTAGACGTAAGAATAAACTTGGGTGACCTCACAGGTATGTTAGGTTAATGCATTGCGCTTCCACACTCTCTCAAGTAGATATGCATTTGAGGAAGCACCTGCTCTTGACCATGCATGCAACTGCTTGTCTTTGTTTTTTGAAAATCATCAAAGTTATAGCAGGCTGGGTGCTTTTGAAGTTGACCTTTGCCAACAGAATGTAATGTGGTATTCTTGGATGCTGATGCTGATAACAGCTGACTCAGAGAAAGGAATTTTCAGTTTATCAGACTAGCTAATAATTGACCACTGTTTTAAAAAATGTGGGAGCTCTGGTAGCATAGTGCCTAAGGCACTTGACTGCTAACCAGA